TGGAATAATGCCTCATATGAGGAAAACAACCAGTTCTAATGGATTATTTTCCTCCGGCACAGTGAGTTTGTACCTGGCTAGCACTACGGAAGCCAATTGAACAATGCTAGCGAAGAAGGTATGAATACAAAACATCAGCATGAAAATCCATAGACTGGCAAATGCCAAGATGACTTGTAACATCTCTCAGTGCTAAGTATCTAGCACAGTTGCTTGGGTTGGAACTAGGACCGTCTTGACAATACCCCTATATTCAATGCGACACAGGCCTTCGTAGTAGCTTAGTTCCCAGATAGCCGCCTATCTATGAACTGACTCTACATTAATGGATGCCGACATATCCAAGTCTTCGAATAATGTTCCGTTTGGTCAGATAATCGTCGAAGAAATCAAGCAAAATCTATTCACCCAGCAAACGATGCGTTCTCTGTGTCAAGAGTTATGACGTCAAAATGGCACAGCAGAGCGGATACTGCGGGTATGGCGGGAGGGACCCGATTAGTAGGTGCCTTGTTTATCGGGTGTCTTTCGCATTTTGGCTGGTGGAGAGGAAAGGAAAGAAAGCGGGGAAGACGTCGATCATCCGTTGGACCGTGGAGCAGCATTCCTTTACAAGCAGCCACATACCACCTTCATTAGGGAATTCGCAATACCAATAACCGTCGAACTTGGATTAGGTCTCCTGGGAGCCCGCCTGAAGTCTTCAATTGCCCGTTCACCCATTGCTGCCATTATGGACCGAAGGCCACCATTGCAATCTACCTACCCATGGACAAAAGCACCAGTGATAGCACAAGCTCCTATGCTCAACATCGCCGCCCCAGAGCTAGCCACCGCCGTATCCGCAGCTGGTGGGATAGGATTCATTGCTGGTGGAAATGACGTGTCGAACTTAGAAGGCAAGTTGCAGAAAGCCGAACAGCTCGTGAGAGAGTATAAGGCAGCGGAAGGCTCTCCCGACCAGAACCGTCTCCAGCTATATGACGGCCCGAGCTTACCGGTCGGTGTCGGGTTTCTGAGCTGGGGAGCCGACCTCAAGATGGCATTGCCACTTATCATCCGATATCGTCCATGTGCTGTGTGGCTGTTTGCGCCACCTAACAGTGCTGCAGATCAGGTTCCTTGGGTGGAGGGAATCCGGACTCAAACTGGCGGCAGTGTGACTATTTGGGTACAGGTGGGAAGCGTGGAGGATGCAATTGACGCTGTAGTCAAGCTACAGCCTGACGTGCTCGTCGTGCAGGGCAGTGATGGCGGGGGTCACGGATTGCAGCACTCTGCTAGTATCGTGTCTTTGCTTCCAGAAATCATTGATCATCTGGATGCCAAGCCTCCAGTCAATGCGAACAATTTATTGAAGCCAAAAATTGTTGCAGCAGGTGGTCTGGTAGATGGTCGAGGAGTGGCCGCCGCTCTCACCTTAGGTGCTGAGGCGGTAGTGATGGGGACTCGGTTCCTGGCTTCTCTTGAAGTTCCTATACCGAAAGGATACCAGCAAGCTATCATCGAAGCTAGTGATGGAGGGATCCATACTATTCGCTCCGCTGTCTATGACCGGGTACGTGGGTTCCTGTCCTGGCCACCGAAGTATTCTCCCCGAGGAATTGTGAACCAAACGCACACAGACTTTGTGGCCGGTAAGGTGACTGAGCAGCAAAATTACGACCTGTACCAAAAGGCTTTGAAGAAGGGAAACCCAGGTTATGGACCTAATGGGCGACTAGCTACGTTTGCAGGCACTGCGGTTGGCTTGGTGAAAGAAATTTTACCAGCAGGGGAGATAGTTCGGAGGACAAGGAAGGAGACGGAATCTGTTTTGAAGATAGGTAGACTTGCAAAGCTGTAGAATATACTATTACATTCAAAATTTTGGGTAAAAACACCATCCTCGGGCCGTTGTAAAAGGGCAGGACGATGCCAATATCTCGGGACCAATCCTAGCTTAGCCATTAGCCCCAGTTTCCAGAAGAAGATTGTGCTCTGAAGTCCCAGATCAACATATAATTGTGCATATGACTCTCGCATGAAGGATAGTATGGAGCATGGAGTCTACGGGAATCAGCATTGGGGTATATCACGTCTAATATGTACGTTGTCATTCTGATTTACAGAGGGTGAAATTCAAGACTGATTAGTGATCATATACTCATCTGCTTTTATTGGTGAGTATTATCAAATTTTAAGTGATGCTCGGCCAAGCATCAAGATGGAAAATAAGCATTAAATTGAAATGGCCCGCCAAGAAAGCTAAGGGCAGCTCATTGCGCAAGCGCCTCCTTAGCTTTACTGCTGGTTCTGAGACTGACTGTCTAGACTAGACCGTTGGTCTTCTGACTGCTAATTGCGCCATGCACACTAATATTCAGCTCCCACCGACCCCTGGCTCTCTGCAATCTGCATAGCGGATAAACATTCCGCTAGAGGCAGGGTAGAATGCGCTCGGACACTTGATCAGTTCAATGAAGGTGGAGAATTGCGGAACAAGGCACAGACCAACGGAAGTGCTTAAGGGCAGTTCTAGTCGGACAAGGGCTGGTAAGATGCCTTTCAGCTGCGAGACAACACTTCGATTCAGCCGTCGGAGCGACCATAGACTAATGTGCCGGCAAGGATCAGATTTTGCGCTTTGCTTTTGTGTGCCGCGTACACCCTGCAGCCAATATGCTTGGTGCAGGGCCGGGTGGCGGGCCGTTTCTTGCTAGGGCACCCACTAACGTGAAGCTAAGTTGACTCCCAGGATGTTGATAAGGTGAGGGGAACTCGGCTACCTTGATTTTCCTGCGCCGTATCTTTTAAGCAGTTTCTCTTCCGATCTCGCTGTTGTTTTTCTTCCTAAGTGCTCCCACCTGTACTTTTCTGGCTTCAGGCTCCCCTAAGGGTGCAGGATGGTCTTCGCACATAACACGCAGCAGGATGCTGCCAAAGATCCCGTCGTTGCTGGCGCGCACACCCTAGAAGCCGATGCATCTAGTCAGGATGATGACATCAAAGGCACACGCCACGACGTGACAGAAATGGATCGCATGGGTAAGACCCAGCAATTCAAGGTAAATATTCGGCGCCCAGATAATCGCATCCGACTAATGTATAGGATCGCAGCGCAACATCCAGTCTTTTGCAGCCCTCAGTTTTTCGGCCGTATTGCAGTCTACATGGGAGTACATCATGCTGTAACGCGACCATTAAATTCCACTACTCCGCTCAGGGTCTAAATATCAGTAGGTCGGACTATGAAGGATTACAAGATGGTGGGTTGGCAGGCATGCTGTGGACCTACGTCTGGAGTGCCATTGGATTTGGGTTCATCATTGTCTCTATATCTGAAATGGCCTCGATGTAAGTTGCCTCATCTATACATACCATCACGGTCGCTAACCGTCTAGGGCGCCTACGTCTGGAGGCCAGTACCACTGGGTCTCCGAGTTTGCATCCCCACGCTACCAGAAATTCCTCAGCTACGTGACCGGCTGGATGTCTGTCCTGGCATGGCAGGCAGGAACCGCATCGGGCTCGTTCCTGACTGGAACCATCATCCAGGGCCTGATTAGCGTCCGTGACCCCGACTACGACCCCACTGGATGGCAAGGCACATTGTTTGTGTTTGCGATGATTCTAATTGCGTTCTTTTTTAACATATACGGTGCGGCATTCATGGCCCGTATGCAAAATGTGCTTTTGGCAACTCACGTTTTTTGCTGGTTGGTCGTGGTGGTGACACTTTGGGTTCTGGCTCCGCTACAGCCCGCCGAAGCAGTGTTCACAAAGTTCGACAACTTCGGTGGATGGTCATCTATGGGTCTTACTGTGATGGTTGGCCAGCTTGCCGCCATTTACGGCTGTCTCAGTATGTATAACAGCAACATGTTCAAAGATCAGCCCTGACAAGTACAGGCTGTGATGCAACGGCACACATGTCGGAGGAAATCAAAGATGCAGGGCGATACGTGCCCATCGCCATCACATGGTCTTATTCTGCCAACGCGATCCTAGCACTAGTCGTACTTATCACGATGCTCTTCGCAACTCCGTCCGTCGAAGACTCACTCAATGACGACACCGGCTTCCCCTTCATTTACGTCTTCAAACAGGCCACCAACACAGCAGGCGTCAACGGCCTAACGGCGATCATTCTCATCCCTGTGATCATAAGCAACATCCTCTTCAACGCCTCGACGGCACGACAGACCTTCTCCTTCGCTCGCGATCGCGGACTCCCATTCTCCAACTGGATCGCCAAAGTCGATGAAAAACGAAAGCTACCAGTCAACTCCATCATCCTGAGCTGCATCATCAGCGCCCTACTGGCCCTGATCAACATCGGCTCCGAGACGGCCTTCAACGCCATCGTCTCCCTCAACGTAGCGGCACTCATGTTCTCCTATTCCATCTCAATGAGCTGTCTAATCTGGCGAAAGCTTTGCCACCCGCATACTCTGCCCCCTGCGCGCTGGGGACTGGGACGATATGGTCTGACGGTCAACATAATCGGCTGGTTATACGTGCTATTTGCCCTGTTCTGGTCGTTTTGGCCCGAGTCGACACCTGTCACGACTGAGACGTTCAATTGGAGTGTTGTAATTTTTGTGGCGGTATTTTTACTGAGTCTTGTTATGTATGTGTTCCAGGGGAGACATCAATATGATGGGCCGGTGATGGAGGTGAAGAGGTGTGGGGATTTATAGATGTCTCAGATTTACATAGAGGTGGCGCAAACTGTATACTAAATACATTGATACAATGGTCCCTGGAAAAATGGAAAGAGACACATCCGAGTACTGAACGGGCATGAAATACAATTTAGCGGCAAAGTTCGCATTTTATTCGATATACTTTCCTCGACTAACATCCTAGAGAACATGTGTCGAGCGCTGTGTACACTTGGACAAACAATTGTCAGATCATAATTTGCTGGCAATCATATGAGATAAGTAAGCACTAACCGTTTCAGATCCCTTACATCAGGACGAAGAAAACCAAAATAATTAGATAGCCTATGCACTTTACGCTACCTCAAAAGTCTTTTGGTTCCAGCCATACCGCCGCCCCAAGCGTCTCCCGAGGATGAGAAGACGATATCCCTCAATACAAGTCTTATGGGGCCGGTGCAAAGTGATAGCTTTCTGGGCAGCATATTCCTGTGGCGGGGAGAAAGTGTAGACGGAACCGAATCTTGGGATCACGGAGAATCCGAGGTCAACCATGGCAGCTTTGAAATCTAACCAGGGAATCGACCCTCTGGAATCGGATCTGGAGAAAATGGTTGAGAAAACTGCAAACGTGCTAGGTCCCACCTTCAAGGTCGGAGCTTCAGGGGCATCGTCCTTCTCCGGAGCCTCAGTATTCGGGGTAATGTTATAAATAGAGGAATGTGCCGGCCGGGATTTCACTTTTTGACGCCGCTCTGTAACCTGTAGCTCTGAATTTGAAGACTCAGGAATTGACAGGCCAGGCGCAGCAGCAGCAGCGGATTTTACTTTATCTCTTTGTTGTTCATATTGGTTCTGGATTTCAAACAGACAGCCTTCGTTGAGTTCTTGATACAGGAAGCCTATGTCCGCCCCGGTCTTGTCAATGATGAATCGACCTAAAGCACCGAGAGCGTATTGGGCCATTCCTGGTTGGCGTAGGTTGTCAATTGGGATTGCATAGCCGGACAGGTCAATCTCATTTCTCAAAGGTTCGAGCTCAGCGTCCAGACTCCTGAATTTTGACAGGTACATTTGCCCCATTTTGGTTGTCGCGGGCGGCAGTGCCAAAGAAGCAGAAACAGACTGAGCAAAAGCAGCAGTGACCGCCAGATCGCTGAAAGCATCACACTCAAGCTCGGTTATCTTTTCCATTTCGATCGGATCGGTCCTTTGAAGACCATGAAGCTTCTTGACCCAGTCCACTGCCTTTGGTGGGGTTGTCTCAGTTTGGCACAGGCGAAGCATATAATGGAGTCGCGGATCCGAGCGAGTCAAGGTGTCTGGTTTGGTCTTCATCGTCACCCGTGCTACGCCGTTGTCATAGACACCAGGGACTCGTTTAAAGTGTCCCGATCCTGATCCCACCTGGACGTAACGCTTGAACCGCGATTGAACCCGCTTGTATTCGAAGGACATCACATTGGCTAGTTCCTGCAGTAGGAGGATTTTGTACGCTCGATCGGTTGGCCTTTCCAAGAGGCTCTGTAGAAGATGGTATATGAATCCCCAAATAGCAGCCCCGGCCACTGCATTGTAGACTGCTTCAACAAAGCAGATGGAGATGTACTTATCAGTCGTCAGAGGCAGCATCCGTCCACGATCGTCGGGTACAAGCTCGGGACGACTAAAAACCAGATGTTTACCACATGGACTAGGAATTCTGGCTCAGTTCGGCAAAGGTATAGATAATCTTCAAGTGCAGTCTTTTGATCCCAAGCGCGAGCGGCCAAATCTTTCAATGAGAGCTTTTCGGGTTTTGAGTCCAGAGACAGTGAAGACAACGCTTCGCGGGCCGCCTTTTCCGTCTTCTTGGGCCGTGGATTTTGCGGCAGGGAGGATCCTTGGTCAAGAATATCTTCCACGAGGATATTGAGAGATTGCAGGAAATAAGTTTGCCTCATTAAGATAAGCTCACCGGTGGCCCGTGGAACACAGATGCCTGCTTGAACGGCTGTGGACAGACCAGCCATCACTTCTCGGTACTTGTCAGGGTCGGTTACATCGTAAGACCTGCCATAGTCTGACCCATCTAAGAACATGGTGAAGCTATAGCGGAAAGGTTGGGCATGACCAAGGCCTTTCGTGCGCATGCTCTCGAGAATAATGGCTGCATCCCCTGGTCCCCCATTCAGTCCCTGCTGGTACTGCTGAGGAAGAGAAGTGGTTGCGCGGTATTTTAGATGGTCCAGTAGATAGTCCGAGTCAGGACGTGCGATATCTCGAAGATTCAACTCGGGAATAAATTTGTACACATCGCCCATGGACTGGTCATTGGGCGAACGAAGGACTTGCCCGCCTGCAGCTCCTGCTCTGAAGGCCGCCTCTCGCTTTGGCTTACCGAATTGACGCCAGAACTGCTCGATTCGCGATCCGTGCAGCCGGTATTTCCGAGCCAAGTCCTGATGCAATGTTCTGGTGAACGCGGCATTGTCACCCATATCATCCATGATCATCGACAGATACCAAATACTGTATCGTTGGTAACAGAAACTGTAGGCAAAAAAGACAATGAGCAACAGAAAACTTAAATCAGGGATTAGGGAATGAGGGAATGTTGAAATGTTGGAGCAAGGGGTTCCCAAATACAAATTCGTCGATCGGTCACGTGTCGATGAAACAGTGACATGTTGAAAAGCTGGGGTGGTGTGAATTGTAACAAACCCTCATACGTGCTCTGCTGTTTCGGTAGATTCCTGACAAAGCCAATTCTCCGGTTACTCCCGTGTATTCAATGGATATGACGCTGCACTATCTAGTGTAGTGTTGATCTGATTGCGACCAAACTAGTACAAGTCAGCTAATGTGAATCGGTATATGCCTCTTCATGCCGAATGGAAAATCGAAGGATGCACTCGAGTCTTCAAAGCAGTGTAGTTAGGAAGACCAAGGGTAGCTAGCTGGCCTCCGTCCTTCTGAAAGGCTAGAGCACTAATGCTTTTCAAGAACCTATATCTGTGGGACTTGCAAGGCATAAAGTATTGTCCATTCGGATGTGGAATAAGAGGACGTACGTCCAAATTGGTGGCATTTGCGGGAAGCTAGCAAATCCCAACCCCAATAATACGAAACCGGAAATCATCTAGCGAAGACTCAGTTGGTTTAGTTAATATGTACATCACTTGGCCAATCTGACCGTTGACGCGATTAATTTCAGCACATATTGTTCTGTTCTCCTCTACTGTCATTCTCAAAGGGCGGCCTAAATGATGCAATACGGATGCTTACCAAATAGGCCTCATGCATTGAGCCAGCATGGTACTAGACGTCAGGAGCGTCAAGCCTTGCATCGATCAAAGCCTGCACTTGATTTATTCGGGAAGTGCCACTTTTCAGGTGGACCAACATGTGCAGATCGAAAGTGTCCGCCCTAATACAGTAAATCTATGACGAGGGCAGGCATGTCTTAGGGGGAAACTGCCGCTGGCCCCTTATTTTACCAGGCGGGCTAAATGATCCCAGAAAACAGAGACCTTGGCCTAGTCAAGAAGCTATCTCTTGGAAGGCAAAGGTAAGAGAAAAAACAGGGTTAGATCATTCTGGTTGTAAAGCGACAGATGAACTAGTGCGATGCGGGATTCCAGCCCTCCTGGTCGGAAGAGAAGCCATCTATCCTCCAGGCTCTCACTCTTCATTTCCTAGTAAGATAGAAATACAACACCCCGGAATCGTCTTGGTTCAAGGACCACTGAGCACCAGCAATAGTGTTGTCATCGACATACCGAAGATAATCGACCACGGGGCAGTCGCCATAGATCATGGCAGCAGAGCTAATACCTCGGTAGGTCATTTCGGCCAACTCCAGTCATACGTTAGTAGCTCCAACATTATGATGCCAAGAAGCGAACATGATTTTATACGAAAAACCTACAAACAAGTTTCCCCATCCAGGGAGATGCTTCTTTTCCCCACCCGCTAACGAGTATTTATCCACAGACGTACGGGAGCGGAAAACTTTGAAGATGGGTAGCAATGCTGCTGCCTTTGGATCCGAAGGATGGCCAGTTGCCAACAAATGGGCTTCCCATTCGCCAAAGATAAACTCGGGGCTTACGGCTGGAAGAAGGTCGAAGACATTCTGCACTTCTGATGGATCCACGCGGGCTTTGCGCTTGGTCAAGAAAAGAAAGGTTCCACCTGCGGGCCTGTTGATCGCGCACATTAGACTCGTCATTTGACATATCTCATGAAGCCAGACAATAAAACGATAACTTACGTTTGTGTCATAGTAGACATCGACGTGGCTAGAAAGGGAATGGTAAAATGTGAATTTTCCTGATGTATACGAACTGTTTGCAGGCGAGTGTCAATGAAGCTAAGAAACCTTCAATAAGATGATCAGCACAGAGAGCGTGTGAGGCCTTCTATATACTACTAGAAAAAGTACCTGCCACACCCCACGCCGAACTTTTGTCTGAACACAAATGGTGTACAGCATACCCCTCGCAATCGAGGAGTAGATGCATACTGTACCACCGAGAACTGCAGTCCGCGGCAGCTCTCGCTTTCGGTCAGGGAAAAATTACCGATTGAGCTGCATGTCAGGAAGGCCAACATACTATAGTGCCCAATGAGAGTGGCGATCTGGTAACCTACCTGAGTGCACATATCTGATGTGGAGACCTGACGGTCATGCGCACAATGTTCACCCCACACGTGAAAGGCTGCATCGCTCACTGATCACATCTGCAGATTACAATTCTGACCGTTCATTGAGGAGCCTTGGTTTGCTCACCAATTGTTACATCATCACGAGCACTACTACTTCTTTTTAGGGTATTGATGTGAGGTTCTCCAGCAACTCCGACAAATAGGAACAATCTGCAAGGGCAATAGGCTCGGCATTCAGGGCTCTACTGATAAAGCTAAGGAACCTTTCCCCCTTGGAACACCACCATCTGCATATGAGCCTTCGCTCAAATAGCTAAGTATCGTCTAAGCTCGTCCTTACGAAGTCAACCCGCCAATTTGACTTTAACTGAGGTATACAGAAACTGACGAGACGAAGATCACACAAAAACCTGTTTTCTTGTTCCATCTTTAGGCGCTATACGTGAATTTATAATTAGGCAGGCGGTAGGTGTGGAAGGTATATAGAGACCTTCTATTGATGCCCTTGCCTGGTACCTCATAGCCCAAGAAGGATTTTTCCCTAGCAATTGTTTTGCAAAATCTCAATTAGCACAATGCAGTCCCACCATTCATTCAAATCGTCCACGCTTAGCCTCCTCTCCTCAAAACTCTTCGAGCATCATTATGAGGATGGTCCTCGTATCGAAGAGCTAGAAAGATCATATCACCGAGCCAGAGCAATCGGTCAACTGCATGGTCAGTACATTGCATGGCCGTAACAGTAGGTCTAACAACACCAGGCGTGACCCTCGAGGATTGCCTTCATATGACCCCCAAGTTCTGGGCCGTCCACAAAGATGGAATTATTGTTCGAGATGCCGTTGCCCACATATTGGTAACGATTCAACTTAATCTGGTGGCCGGTACAGTGGCACCTTTTGCCCTCAAGAGACCCGATCTCCATCCGCTAATGAAAGAGATATTGAACTTCGATATCTCGTAAGTACTCTCTCATGAGAAATTTTGCAAAACCATTGACACTGAATAGTGTACCATTCATGCTGAATGAAGTCGGCCATGGCTGCGATTCCCGGAATCTGGAGACCACGGCAACCCTGCAGCGTGATGGCAGCTTCATCCTCAATACGCCTACACCTGAGGCAGTAAAGTACTAGTGACACAAAATCCATTCCCAAACCTTACAAAATGCTGATAATGTACAGGTTTATGCCACCATCAATGCCAATAAAGGGCATTCGGCGAGTAGCCATTGTGTGTGCACGGTTGATAGTTGACGAAGAGGACCGTGGTATCCGGACCTTTGTCGTCCCGTTAAACAATGGAATGGAGATGAACAAGGGTGTTCGTTCATGGTAGGTGTTGGTATTATCTCATGTAACATACTATGGCTTAAAAACCCCGATCCAGGCTTCTCCCCCCAATCACTGGAGGCAGGGTTCTCGACCATAGCTTGACCTCTTTCGACAATGTCCATCTTCCAGCGAATGCAATGTTGGGTGAACTCGCGATGCCTGCCGACCTGCGCGCCCAGTATCTATCAGCCATACACCGTCTGGGCACCGGAGCCCTTGCTTTAAGCTTGTGGATCATTCCCTTTCTGAAGTGCGCCGCATATTGCGTCGGCAAATACAGCCAACGCCGGACTGTCCAAGCAGGTGTGCACGGGGAACGCGTCCCTATTATTTCGTTCAGAACACAGCAGCTCCCAATCTTGCACTCCCTTGCGCAGATTGCTGTCATGGAACCGTTTAGCGACTGGCTTACACACCTCTACAGCACAGACAACTCACTTCACCCTGGAGCGAAACATGGTCTGGGGGTCATCATCAAGGCGGTTTTCTTACAGAATGGGCAATGGAGTCTAGCAAACCTTATTGAGCGAAGTGGTGCACAAGGAGTGTACCCACATAACCAGATGGCCACGTTTGAGGTGAGTTGAATGACCCCTTCACGTCAAGTCTGAATAATAACTCACAATGTAGGTTTTCACCCGGGCTACCGGTATTGCAGAGGGAGAGGTTTTGGTTCTCTCAATCCGTGTGTATCCCTATCCTTGCTTTCCCGCAAATAAAACATCTCACTGACATCTAACAGGCCTTGCCACGGAGCTTTTACTTGGTCGATATGCTATTCCCGGGCCTACAAAGCCTGATTGTCTACTTGCACAGCATGAGGCTGGCATCTTTTCCGAGCTGCGGAGAAAGCTGAAGAAGATCGGCAACCATCGCGGTGACGAATACAGCAAGCAAGTACTTCCCCATCTTCGGCCTATGATCATAGCGATCGGACAACGCATGGCGTATGAGGCTGCAGTTGACGCATCCATTGACCCTGATTTGCTGGCTCTATACGAGGCGGGAGCTATGAAATCAGATCCTGCCTGGTTCTCAGAGCATCTTGGGATTAGTAGGGATGCCCAGTTCCAGAAGGAGTGTGACGCAGTGGATGCGGTTTACCGCCGTCTCGACGAGCATCTGGATAACTTGCAGATTGAGCCCTATATCACGGCTCCAATGCTGACCGCTGACAGATGGATGGGAATCATCAAGGCGGTCCCGGAGTTTACAGGAAATGGAGAGATGAGCTTCCCAGGTGCTCAGGAGTTTCAATCTAAGCTTTAATGTGTGTCTGTTTGACTTTGAGGATGATGCAATTAAACAGGCCGTTCCATATGAATCCAGGGTGAACTATGGTTTATTTACCTATATAATTGTCTTCTAAAATTGTATCGCGCAACGTACTGCTATTATAGTGCTATCCTAATTGTGGCACAGATCGACACCCTTGACCACGCTTCTGCTTTGGGGAATGGACTTGCGGGCCTCATAAAAACGCCCTTTTCGAAATAGCACAAATCTAGTACAAGTCGCTCCATTTCCTTGGAAGTCAGGTAATAAACTCAATTGCAACAATCCAGTGGTAGCGTTTCCGGGATCATATGCCGTTAGCCGACCCTCCAAGACTTCATGATCGACAGTAGAATACGAGGCGTGTTTTCCATGTATGGAAGGATCTGGAATTTCTCGAATTAAATTTGAGATGACAATCACTACTCCGTACATCTTTGCGTGTATTGCAGAAACCTATTGGATATCCATACACCAATGCAACTCTTCTTCACCCGGTTTGCATCACGGATCTCGAAATTGGTACCACCTTTCTCACGTCAGCCATCCGTAAATATGGTCGATCGGTTCCTCTAATAGACATAATGGGTAAGGCTAAAGGCATGTAGGAGGCCAATTCGCGGAATGTGGGGGCATGAGCACAATTCTTCAGCATCTCCTTGTTTCTTGGCACGGCATGGACACATTACAGTTTAGTCTTGATTCATGCATCTTGCATATTGGTTGGCATAGCACTCAAAGTACTCGGATCAAAAAGGATGTGTCCACAGACTACAGTAACCTGGCACATGGCATTCTCATCTTACGGTAGGAGGATACAAACACAGCCATCAAAATTCTATCCCGCTTAGTATTAACGCTCACCAGTCAAAGTGCATTACCTAGCATAGATGGCTGCCTAGAAGTAAAGTAGGTACTTACACCGCTAACATTACTAAGATCCGATATATTGCCCTAGACCAGCTAAAATTCTCTGCTCGCTGAAGTGGTAATTCAAAAATAGCCATCATCTCTGCAATTGATAGCCTTGCCAGCAAGAGGCTCGACGGAAGGGCGCCGCGCGGGGCCGATAGAGCCTCGGAGATGGTCCGCTCCCCATAATGAGGGGTAAGAAGTGACAGCTAGTCTAAGACTAGCAGACACCCGCTGATATCTCCATACAAGTTGCGATAAAGAAAGCTATAACTCAGTCTCTATTACCATTGCCTGTTCATATTTACCTACCCACTTCTTCAATTGTTTCTTCAAAATGCTTCGACTAGACGGCAAAGTCGCGCTTATCACCGGCCTCGGCCAGACCACCGACGAGGGCTGGGGCATCGGCGCCGCCATCGCCATGAAGCTCTCCCAACAAGGCGCGATCATCTTCGGCGGCAATCGCTCATTATCCAGTGCCGAGCGAACCAAAGCCCGAATCGAGAAAGAGGGCGGAAAATGCGAAGTCCAAGAAACAAACGTTACTGATTCCACCTCCGTCAAGGCCCTCGTGGATAGCTGCATGCAACGCCACGGGCGCATCGACATTCTAATCAACAACGTGGGGAAATCCGAACCAGGCGGTCCCGCCGAAATGAGCGAAGAAACATGGGATCAACAAGTCGACCTGAATCTGAAAAGCGTTTATCTGACGAGTCATTACGTGCTTCCTATCATGGAGAAGCAGGAGACGGGCGGCACGGTAATCAATGTGTCGAGTATTGCCGGGCTGCGGTATATCGGGAAGCCACAGGTGGCATATTCCGCTACAAAAGCAGCCATTATGCAATTCACAAAGGCCACGGCGGTGATATATGCGGGGAAGGGTGTGAGGTTGAATACGGTTGTTCCGGGGCTGATTTATACGCCATATACTCGGGAGCTTGCGAAGAGGTATGCGCCGGGCGGTGATGAGGCGGCATATATGAAGACGCGCGATGAGCAGGTGCCAATGGGTCGCATGGGGGATGCTTGGGATGTGGCTAATGCTACGGTGTTTCTGGCATCGGAGGAGGCACGGTATATCACTGGACAGGAGCTGGTGGTGGATGGCGGTATTACGTCTTCTACAGGGAGAGTGTAAATAGATATTATCCTCCATGTTCTCTATGTGTTTGATGTAGCAGGCTAGAACGGCCCAAGCTGCACGCTGTATCTGTACGGGCTATTATCTCGTGTCGTTTTAATTAATACATATATATTTGTGCATAATATACTTGATTAAACATAACATTGATGCTACAGACGTTATATTCTCCCCATTAGTCCTGCCCAGTCCCTTCTGTTGTACGCTATAGTCAAACTAAATACTAAGCGGCATGTCCCCGAAAGCTACGGAAGACATCCGCTGATGGTTGAATAGCCGCGGGTCAGCTTCACCACGAAATAGAATACACGAGCAGGAGGATTTAGAGCTAAATACCTTGATTGTTCTCTTTTAACTTCAAATATTTCTGTAAGAGCATATCTTTGTTTGTATTACTTTCAAATCCAGTCTCTACCATAGACTCTTTCCACAATGACTCTAGTCCACATCGGTATGTCCACACAACTATTACAAAGTCTATGATCTCCAACTAACCTACTACCAACCAGTCCTCTTTAAGTTCCGTCCCGAGGTGACCGAGGAGCACAAACAACGCTTCGTGATAGAGCTCAAAAGGCTCAAGAACCTACCCTGTGTGAAATCCGGACGCCTCCTCGTGGGCGGTCCCAGTGTGACCGACCCCATAGACCGCAGCAAGGGATTCCAGATCGCTCTAGTAAGCTATCATGAGGACCTGGCTGCACTAGCAGAGTACCAGGCTAGTAAGGAGCATCATGAGTAAGTGAATGGATACTAAGTCCGCTGGTCGAGATTGCTGGGGCTAACCTTGATTATGGCAGCGTGACATCGACATATATGTTTCCGTACAAGGAGGACCTGGTGAGATTTGACTTTGAGGTTGATGAGGAGGATGAGTATATGTGTGATTTTCCTGTGTTGGGTTAGAGATGAATGTTTTCGCAAAACAAATTTGAAGAGTTTAGTAGTTATATATCTTGACAGAGCACGGTTTTATATTATAGACACAACTTCACCATGATAATACTAGAGCCATTAGTCGTGAACGCCTACAGAAGAAGACGTCTCCGCTATAATGCTCGCAATAATGCTTCCTGAAAAAAGCTTACTTTACGGAGTACTATATACTCATTTTCAGGAGCCAAGTCTACTGATCGATCAGGGAGACACATATTGTCCGCCTGATATATGAGGCATTAAGGTTATAGTCACATGACATGAGTGACGGAGGCACTCCGCTTGGCCGTCGGACACTCCCCGCGCCACCCACATTGCCGTTTCCCGGTAGCGTTGAGAAAGCAGGAGATGGAGCAATTTCTTCAGCCATCAGCTTGCATCGCTTCGCCAATCAGATCAATCACAATCTAGCAATTACATATTATCTGCTGAACTAGCTGTACCCCGGATTTACAGACCGCCAAGAAGGAAGATCACGTGGCAAAGCGAGAAAGACGCGGCAACAACACCCCAGTTCAGTCCAGTCATCCAGTGATAGAGCATCTGTTATCCCAGATCAGTCCTTTTGTCCCCACTCGGGTGTCCATATGCCAACATGGACTCACCGCGTCGAAATCGGAATAGAGCGGCGTGTAGGCGATGCCAACGAAGGAAGATTCGCGTAAGTAGCCAGACCATTCGCTGGTTGATTCGCGCTCACGGTGTCCCGTTTTGCAGTGTGATGGGAATGAGCCATCATGTAGCTCCTGCCTGAAGGCAGGGGTATCATGTGTGAATGATGGAAAACAGGAGGTCACGCGGAGATATATTTCAAACATGGAAAATCGGATCCGATGGCTCGAGTCGATTGTCAAGGAAAACTGCGCGAACGTGGATTTGGGACTTGAACCTCGCAGTAACGCCCCAGAGAACGCTGCAGATCATGATAGCACGATACTATCTGTAGAAGTACAGCACGAAGACGACCCGACCACTAGTTTGCACCAATCCTCTCGGGAGTTTAGAAGAGAGGCTCCAGCCGTTTCACGCAATGAAGAGAATACCTTCATTCCACTGGCGGAACAGAATCCACAACATCATGTGCAGGGAAACAATTCTGGACATCAACCGGCGCATGAGATCGGACTGGTGTCGTTGTCCTCTGGTGAAGGTCCTCGATACATTGGGCCATCCAGCGGGTACTTCTTTGCGAACCGTATATTCTCCAGCGCTGGGCGGCGTTCTAAAGCCAGAGGCGTGAAAAGGGCCACAGCAGAGTCAACTAGCCTTTCAACTGAACTGCTAAGTAACCTAACCCTGCTGCCTACTCGAAAAGAAAGCGCCATGGAACTGTCAAAGAAATACTTCCGAACGGTACATCTTATCTACCCGTTCCTGCATGAGCCGACCCACATGTCTGTGATCGAGCGAGTATATGCGTCCCACAATGAGAGCCCCCCGGACTTGTTTCAGGTTTACATGGTGCTATCGCTCTCAGCCTTGTACTTATCTCGTGAATGTAAGGTGCATCTTCCCGTGGAGGGATACTATGCGTCAGCCATGAAGTATGTTGAGCAGGTCTGTTCATATGGCTCGGTTACTGCTCTGCAATGCATGCTACTTCTTATGGTTTATGCCTTGCATAACCCATCTACTAATGTCAACATATGGAACCTCAACTATCAGTGTCTTGCCAGTGTGATAGACTTGGGATTGCAGCGCGACGTTCGGGCATCTCCTTCCCTCGGAATTTCGTTGCTTGATCAGGAGATACGGACCCGTATCTTTTGGGTGGTATATACGCTCGATAGAGCTATTTGCACCATGATGGGGCGTCCTATAGGTATTAGAGATGAGGCTTGTGAGATGAGGGTAAGATCAATGCTCTATAGCGCGGGAAGAGATACTAATCTGGTCACAGTTGCCGCTGGACATACCAGACACGGGCCTTGTCAATTCTGACCCCAACCGAAATGAACCACAGGAGCCACCGTCACACATGTCGCACTCGATCCATCTCTTCAAATTAGCCAAGGTGAACTCAGAGATAAAATATGTCATGCACAGCATTCAACGTGACGTACCGAGCTATGCCTATCCCCCGGTGCGGGATATCTTCACGTGGCAGCGTGATATGATAAAAGCACTCAGAGACTGGAAATCGACTATCCCACAAGAATCAACTAGTGGAGGAGACGTGATTACCAAGCTCTGTAAGACCAGATATCATGAAACAATGATATTGCTTTTGCGACCAAGTCCGGCAATTCCGAACCCGTCGGAGGAGATGCTCGATCTTTGCTTCCACCAGGCTGTCGATCTTCTGCAAACGTTTGGCGATATCTACAGAACAGGAAGCCTGCTGTACAGCCGACTCCTTGTTCACTCTGTATTCCTTGGGGCGCTTGTATTACTCTACTGTATCTGGAAACTACCGAGAACTACGACGAAGGTGCGCGTCGATGAACTCATGTCGAGTCTCACCATGGCGCAGAACATACTTAGTAGCATCGGGGAGCACTGGAACGAGGCTACTCGGGCGCGGGATTGCATTGACGAGCTATCCCGTGTGACAATAGAACGGCTTCTGAGAACCCAATCGACTATCGAATTGCACACTGAAGCCGACAGAATGCAGTCACGATCTGGAGGCATGCAGAGCTCATCATCTGCGCAAAACCATCAACTGGCAGAATATAATGGCATTGCCGAGGGGTACGGCAACTCTGAACAAATCCCCGGAGCATTAGCTCTTCCTCAAGAATACCAACCGGAAGATACTTCCTACCACTTCAATCTGTTTGATGATCTCCTGCAAGGCGACTTTCAAGGCTGGAGTGGAATGCCTGACATCGATGGGCTGATGTGGGAGGTCTTCAACAGCTCACCACAGTGAGGAAGCAAAGGATGCCGATCGAAGCAAACGAAGAAGCATTTTCAGCCATGCGATAACAAGTCTACTCATCAGGGGCTTACATCATCCCAACGAAAACGTCCCGGAGAATATTCCCAGTGACCTAAAAGTCAGGGAAAACAGACCCATCAATATGAGGTGCATTCTCGGACCCTTAATTGAGTCATACGTCCAATCGGGGACCATCCGTTACTTTTCGGAAGTGCCCCGTGTGGGGCGACGGCCAACCCCGATAAGCTCCGAAACAAGCTCCCCTCATAAAAGCATCGCATCCTCATCCTCGACATCAACCTCGAATCCAATAACAACAACAAAACCTCTCTAATCATTCATAATTCAATAACAATTACAATTACCAAAATGTCCGACCCCCAACACCAAATCCGTCACATCAACCCCACCCACCTGGAAACATTCATCCAGTCCATCCTGACCAAAAACGGCGTCTCCACCGACCACGCCAAGATCATATCATCATGCCTCGTGCAAGCCGATCTCCGCGGCGTAGACACGCACGGTTCCAACCGCATCCCATCATACATGCAACGGATCCGCCAAAATGTCCTCTCGCCCAGCGCCACCCCCACTCTCACTGAGAAAACCCCCGTTGTCGCACAAGTAGACGGCCATAACGCCTTCGGCTTCGTCTCCGCACACATGGGCATGCAACGCGCCATCGAGATGGCCAAAGTATACGGCATCGGCCTCGTCTCCATCAAGCACTCGAACCACTTCGGCATGTCCGCATGGATAGTCCAGCAGGCCCTGGACGCAGGGATGATGTCCCTCGTATTCACGAATTCCTCGCCCGCCCTGCCCGTCTGGGGCGGTAGATCCAAGCTCATGGGCGTGTCTCCGATCGCATGCGGCGCTCCGGCTGGATCTACTCCGCCGTTTATTCTGGACATGGCGCCGTCAATTGCCGCCAGAGGCAAGATCTACAAGGCGCTTCGCCGCGGGGAGAAAATCCCGACTGATTGGGCGCTTGATGGCGAGGGGAATATGACGGATGATCCGGCTAAGGCGCTTCAGGGCGTGATGCTTCCCATGGGTGGGCCGAAGGGGTCCGCGCTGGCGATTATGATGGATGTGTTTTCGGGAGTGTTGTCCGGGTCTGCGTTCGCTGGGGGCGTGACGGGGCCTTATGATCCGTCTAAGCCGGCGGATGTGGGTCATTTCTTGGTGGCCATTAAGCCGGATTTGTTTATGGATTTGGAGGAGTTTAAGGAGAGGATGGACTACTTGTATCAGAAGGTTGTGGAGAGTGATAAGATGGCTGGGGTGGAGAGGATTTATTATCCTGGGGAGATTGAGCAGATTACGAGAGAGAAGAGATTGAAGGATGGTATTCCGTTTACCGAGGCGGAGATTGAGGCGTTGAATAGGGAGGCGGAGATGGTTGGGGCGGATAAGTTGAGGGTTGATTGATTTCGTCTCTGCATAGTCGATCTGGGTTATTGGTTTCTGCCTTTACCAGTAGAAGAGCAACGGATGTCAGACATGGACGGCAGCCGTGTGCGGCACACAGGAAACCGCAGAATCTTCATCTCCCAAAGTACAGTGTCATATTGTATTTGTAATATTTGAGTTGAACATTGCTTTGGACATAACGGACACACAAACTAGCAGGAGATGAATAAGGATACAAACGAAAAGCACAGCGAAACAAACCAGTGGAATATCAGTATATTATCATAGTAACTTCTTCACCTGCGGGAATTGAACCACTCCTGGTCCGCGACATGCCCTGTGAGAATGTCTATTTATGCAGCGAAGAAGTGAACGACAGAGCACCCTTCCAACCTGAGAACTCAGCGTTGGTGAATGGGCCGGATCACACAATTAGTGGAACCGTTCTTCTCGATATCCCTTGCAAAATTTAGAACGTTTGTGTCCTGAGAAGACGCTGGCATTCTGGAAATTTTCGGTGCAGGTTCCTGGACACTTCGGTATACCTGTTCGTGAGAGGCCTGCCCATGAAGAGACTGTACCGATCCTCCACTCCCGTCACTGCCTTTGGAACGGAGTCTGTCAGGTTTCGGTCGCAACGGACCTGGAGGGATAGGCTTGTGGGATCCTCCTGAGATGTTGTTGCTATGTTCTGAAGGTGCTGACGCAGTGTTGCTGGAGAAGGTGGTGCTACTCCGAGGTGATTCAACTACCGGTTCGGCCCGCCTGTCGTCCAGCATAGGCGTTGATGTATGGTGGCCATTTGTCCCGTTAGGAGCAGTCGTCTCAAAGCTTGAGTCCCTACCGACCCCATAGCTCTGTTCTGGTTCAACATTGGTACCCTTGCGAAGCGACATCTTACCAACCAAGCCCGAAAATTTGTCTTGGGTTTGGCTGATGAAGTTGGGCTTTTCAAACTTGGGTCGCTGCCAGAAGCTGTCATTAGCTTCCTTGGTATCCTCGATCGCTGCTGTTTCATTGACAGGAGAATCGGCATGCTTGTCGCCGCGTTTGCTGATTCTAATACCAAACCTGCCTCCGAGGTGAGTGATGTGGGAAGCAAATTTCAATTCGTCTTTATTGGTGTATTCTCCAACACTTTCGAGAACGTCTCCCGCCACATCCAAAGTCTCACCGATGAAAGCGGCAGCTTTTCGGCACTCCGCAGACTTGCTAGTGACAGTAGCACGCAAAGTCGCCCATTCTCGCTTAGTCTCAGCGGTTAAGCTTCTTTTCTCTTGCTGTAAGATTGTTTCCGAAAGGTCTTGGAGTGCAGTCGCGAGTTTGTTGTGAGACTCTTCGAGGCTGCGAAGCTGTACGACTGTCCGACCCACTTCGTCCTCGTTGCGTGTCACTGGCTCTTTCAAGCGGTTGAGGAGCGAAAAGCGCTGATCGACCCCTTCAAGTGTAGCCTGCACCCTCGAAATATTCTCTTGCTGATTGCACAAGGTATCATCTACTACAACCTTCAGCTCATCGATTGACGCTTCCACAAACCGACGGACTTCCTCCTCGGTGATACCGATCCGAGTCTTCTGAACATCGGCGACAGGAACCAGCTTCAAAAACTCGACGGCGGTAAGTGCAGCAGCCATAGCAGCATAGCCATGCCATTCGTCGTTTTTATGTGAATCTGCATAATCACAGATGCCGCGGATGACAATGGCATCGATGCTCGTCAATGCCGCCGACTCCATGTCAAAACAGATCGTACCAAGCTTACTCGCATCACGGTCGCGAATCTTTGCATTCTTGATGACTTGGTCACCCGAAGCTATTGGCCCAGAATGCACCACAAGACGGTTACCCGGAAGGCGCTCTTCCCGGGCGACAATGCGGTCAGGAAGACCAGGCTCATTCCTCTTGCAATCGCAAACATCACTATGGATATAGTCGGATGCATAGAGGCGGTCCACCATCGTGCTCCGGGGCTGAAACCTGTCTCTGAGAGTGATGCGCAGAGCACGAACTTTGTCGTCAACAATTCTTTCCATGTCTATATCCATGAGTGTGCGCCTCTTCAGATGATTTACACGACAAAGCAGGATGTTGGGAGGGCGAGGAACATGGCCAGTGTGCTCAAAGCCTTCAGTCGTATCCTTGCCAAACCTGGTTGGTTTGACCATTGTGCCGACAACCACGTCACCCAGGCGCACGTCACTACCAGCTCGTGGAGAGCCCCCGGCAATGCCAACCATCAACGCAAATCGGAGAGTTGGAAAGGTGCTTCGCATGTTTGTTACGACAGTCGCAGCTGACGCCAGCCCATAGGACTCCGCGGGTAGACAGACAACCACCACATAGTGATTTCCAATGCGACCCCGCGTGTACTCATTGTAATCTCCTCCAGCCTGCACATCTCCGGGGTGGGCCTCGTACTTCTCATCCAGTACTTCCAGCGCAGCAAGGTACTCGATGAAGATGGCACATATCCATCCCACTGTGAAATCGCACGAAGGCGGGGGCTTTTTACGGGATGAAAATGATTCTGTCGCGAAAGTGGGATTTGTGGAAGACATTTTCAAGGCTGTAGCGAAAACTGCACAAGGGGAGGAGTAGCCGACTGATCGAAGAAATGTGTTACACGGGACAGAGATTGTGCTTCTGGGGAATCGAAGAGCGATCCTATGGTACGCTTATAACTATTTGGAAATCATAATGGTCAGTCGAATGCTGAACCTAATCTGGATGAAGACACACTCACCTCTGATCCCAGGTTACCCCTTGGTTCAGGTACAGCTCCGTTATGTTTCCATATCCACTCAGGGATTATGAAGGGCTTTTACATCCGGAGACGCTTTAAGCGGCCCCTTAAGTAGCCTTTCCTTCAGCCTTGCGTATGAGAGACCACTCAAAACCTGCTACCGTGCTGTGCATGCCACTAATGCCACGAGTGCAGACCTGCATGGAAAGAAGTGGACGTGATTCGAGCCCCTAGACATGCTAACCTCAAGAAGCAATGATGGCGTCCTATGGCGACCGTCCCGTAATCACGAGGAATACACTCCAAAGTCTGAGTGTGCCCAGTAACGAATCAAAGATTAATGTTTGCTTTTTCTTGGACAGGGGCACACCATGCTTGAGACCATCCTGTAAGCAGCCTCGCTGCCGTCGAGCCTTGTCTATCAGCAAGCAAGTCGTAGTTAGGGGTCATCTGGTGTTTCAGAGTTTCCGACCACTTCGACGCCTGCCGGTTGAATCGGCAGGCACAAGCTGATGGTGTTGTTTCCCGTTTGGGATCTGCAAGGCTGTGAGTGAAAAGAAGTGAGGAACCAAACCTTGCTGGGTAGAGTGGTATTCTGTAAATGACCTCCTGCTTACTACCTTCATATCTTCTGGTGTGGGCTAAGATAGCTCCGAAGCCTAAGACTGGACGGTCCATTAGCTGGCATTATCTGTATAGCCTCGTTTTCTCATATGGAAGGGTGTGGCGTTTGTGGTTGCCCGATTCCTGCCTGACCCCGAAACTCCGACGTCCAGAGGCCCGAGCCACGTTAGTAAGTTAGTTTCTCGACATCGTCTACTATTGGATAACTATTGATTATCACCGTAATTGGGTTACTTATGACATGAGTGCCAAGCTACTCAAGGCAGATTATCGAGACCACCCTTGACAGAATTTCTGAAAAGATGGTATGGGAGAAGGCATCGTGTGGCTCATTGTGATTCACATCGCACCAAGCATGAGAAACCTATACTAATAATACCTTTCTCAGTATCAGTGAAATACGACAGAACATCAGTGATTAATGGTAGTAAGACTATATATAAGACAATAACATGAACTCTTCTATCGAAGCCATGTTGCCCCCACTCGCCAGCTATCAATACATATCCCCATCAGGACACCATCATCACCTCTGACCCCTCACCATCTGATCTCTGATCTACAAGCCAGACGGAAAAATGACCGACGGATCATACACCGCTGGAGTACTGGTATCAAGCGTACCATTCCAGCAATAGCGCTGAAAGCATTGCTCACAGGCAGCAGGCACCGGTGTGTTCGTCCGGTCAAACGAACGACTAAGCACAGCGCAACCCACACAGGTAGTCCACTCATTATCCAGAGTGCCATTAGCCTGAGTCGCAACATTGAATCCGTTGGTTATCATAGCGTCACGGGCTGTGGTATTGAAAGTCGTATCCGTAGTCGTCGTGTTGGACATATAAGTGACGGGGTGGTTAGGCAGGTAGACAATCAACGGAGCAGGTGTAGTCATGTTCGAGCTATTGCAGCCGAAGAAAGTGGGATGGCTAATAAGTCCCAAATTGACAAAGGTGTTACCATCCGGGATGGAAGGAAACGAAGTATCATTGGCGTAACCAGCAAGAGTACGCTCATAAGTAGCGATAAGTGACTCTCCAGTGGGCCATTTGTAGCCGGCATCATTGTTGTTGGAATCGATGGCGAAGATAACATCCACATCACGCTTCCTCTGAATGAGTGGGTTGAGGGGAATATTCTCTTCATCTTCACCGCCGTCGACCACTGTCAGTCTTGTAGTGTTTGCAAAAGGCGAGGTGTTCGCGTTGTATCCATAAAAAGGATTGGGCTCGTAGGCAGCTGGGCCACTGGTGGCGGTGTTGTTGGAGCTGACAGCGCCCATAACTTCCTCGAGGATGTACGAGAGCAGTTCTACCTCCAAAGCGCCCTCGGTGGTGTTAGTTGAAACATCCCCTATCGCAGCACGTAGGGTGGCGGCAATGTCTGCGCCGTTTTCATTCCAAATGTCGCTGGACGTTCCGGTGATAAATCCAGCGCTGTCGAAGCCGCGCACACAGGTCTCATTTTCGGGCACCTGGCCGTTCACGAATCGGGTTCCCAAGTACTCAAGTGGTGCGAATCCATACATGTTGTTGTCGTAAGTTCCAAATTCCCAGGGCGAGACTTCATAGATGGGTTTGTCTTCACCGGGCTCGTCGTTGGCGTCCGCGAAGGACTGGCCGTCAACAACCACCAGTGGCAGTGGCATGTCTCCGTGCTGGAATGCCTGTGTCTTCGTAATCGAGGACCAATGGATGTCAACGCCGCCATGGCTAGAGTTGAGGAAGTAGTAGCCTTCGGCACGACCCCTGCATTAGTTAGCATTTACCCGTAGCTGTTATCTTGGGTTGAATGTTGTATGAGTATATGGCTTACCAAATATCCGCGTCAGTAGTGGTAAAACCGGCAGCCCTTTTGGCCTTCACTTGAGCTGTGACGTTCCCCCAAAAGTCGGTAGGTTCCATGGTTGCAGGCCCTTCAAGGATGGATGCGGAACTAAAGTCCCAGAAAGTATCCTGAAGGGCGGAGATGGTTGTGAAGTTGTTCATGAACACTGAAGACAGTAACCAGGAGCCTCCACTGAGAGCAGAAACATAGGTTGCCGATTGAAGTAGACCGCCCAACTGCCCCTGAGCAGCCGTACCCTCAGTCCGACTATCGAATGCTTTGAGGGCACCAGCACCATTCAACATTGCGCGCATACCACCGCCGGATATAGCAATTGCAACATTGGGCAAACTGGATGAGTCGCTTGTGTCGAGGTAATCCAAGGCGTCGAAGCAACCTATCTCAACATGACCGAAAAACTCTTTCAGCCCTGATAGAGACTTTTCACGTCGGGTATCTAGCCAGGAAACTTCCTCGGGAGAGAGTGTCGCAGCGCCACGAATGCTAGGCCGGTTTGCCGGACAGGAAACATGGACCGGAGCATAAGGGTTTGCGGCATTTGACAAGGCCCGCCGCTCAACGCTGACGTCTGTTCGAGCTCGGCAATTACTTAATTGGGATGGAGCAGCAGATGTGGCTATAGTACGCAATGTTAATTAGTCACTTGAATCGAAGTATCATCGTGATGTCAATAAATCGAGAGAAAAGCACAAAGGACTTACAAGGCAGGAAGGCCAAGGCAACTGAGCCGAGTAGTGCAGAGGTCTTCATGATTACTGTGTAAGAACCAAATGAGACCTTGCTAGATGAATTGATAGTGTTAATTGAGGATGGAGAACAGGTCTGAATGTTCTTGGGAATGTTCGATATTTAAGCTTCCCAGGTGCACTCAAAATCACAGCTACCCAAGGCTGAACTGACTGTAAAGCTGAGCCCCATCCCACCGATCTGGTACACCCGTTTAGGAATGGCAATATATACCATGGTGGGGATAACAATAACCCCAGGCCTAAAGGCCTCAAGACTCAAAAGTGGATTTGGGGGCGGAGTGTCCCACACCAGCCAAGATTTAGACCTTAAGAGGACGACAGCAGAGCACTTGGAAGCCCTGACTCATGCACGCTAACCCTAATAAGTAACAAGATCGGTGAAGATGAGCTTGATTGAATGCTAGTGGAGACAGATCCGTTTTTCAATATGATGAAGGGGCCAAATTATCGATATCCACACTAAACCTAATCAGGCAACCAGCTCGGAGGCTGAGCGGTAGACAACAATCAGCACAGGCCACGTTTGCTCCCTTTCTTTCCCATCGTTGAACACTCTCAAGTCAACGCAGCCACCACTTGCAGAAGTGCTGCAGCCCACGAGGGTTGAGCTACGTTTCTCATCTCTGATCGCTGTGCCGCCCAATTTGCTGCCGCACCAATCACAAACCCAGCTCCAACCAACACTCGACGCTGCCGTACGAGCATATCAAACGGGGTTGTTTAACTCTGCTTTAGTGTGGGTCATGACCCATAAGTACAGTCTACAGCGGGCTGCATTTGGTTAAGCTCATCAGCGCTCGACTATTCAAATGCAGACACCGGATACGCCGCAGCGTCAGAGGCTGTGTGAGAGCTACGCGAACTGACCCATGATTGATCACTTCGGGTGGGGATATTGACATTGACATTGACATGGTTGGTTGGATTTGAGAAGAGTAGAAGTTGCAAAATGGTATCTGAATTCCGAATACTAACATGTTTTATCGCGAACTGAAGGAGAAACAGAGGAAAAGAGATACATGCGACGCCGTAGAAAAAGAAATCAAGATCTATTCACATAAAAAATCGGGGAAAGGCATCCGCTGCTAAGCCGCAATACCAATCGAAGTTGGCTGGACGACATCAAGCTTTCCATAGTCCGTTTCATCTTTCAGTTCGCGGAGACGTCGGGTGCGGACACCAACGACTATTATGGTCACGGTCGCAAATAACTCCGGAAGAAACATGAGAACAACGCGTACAGACATTAGCCCATAGACCGGACTAAGATCTTTGCTCTCCGTGCAAACAGCAACAAGTGCGTAGATGACGCGGACACCAATAAATGCTAGTGCAACCAGCGCACCCTGAAGGAGCTTCACAACGACATGTCAGTCAACCCATTACCTGAGAAGCATCTGGCAAATATGAAATACTTACCACAGTGCCGCCTTGATATCCCGGACCTTGAATCCCTTTATCGTGGAATTTCAGGGAGTAAACCGACCACCCAATCTGGAAGATCCAAACAACAACGACCAGGGCTGATCCGGCCTTCCATAATGAATAATCGTCGGATTGTGCTTTGTTCTCGAAGATATCCAGACATGCCTTGATGGAGAGACTTATAGCTACCACCATGGTGACTGATGTCCCGATCACAACGGACCAGTTGAGGCGACGACTAGCATATGGATAGCGATACGTTCGACTGTCGTTATTTAGTACGAGATCTAGCATATCTCGAGCCATATACGTACGCTTCATGAACCAATCCGTCAACACATAGAATTAGAGGCGTGACTCCCACACTCTGGATTATGTTTGCTGTCATGCTGCTGGTGTCGCGAACTCCTAGAGCACCTCCAATGATTCGAGCGGAACAGAACATGGTCAGGGAGTACCAGGCTAAAAATCCGGTCCATCGGTGAGTTATGAAATTGTAAACAACGATCGGCGAGAGGATCAGATAGGCTGCAAGGTCAGCTGCAAATATTCCGTTCATTTTGTGAATGGTAAATGTCACAATATAAGATATAATCCAAGATGGAAAGAAAAGAGTAATAGAAGGATCGCTTGATTGCTTTGGCCGATTTTATTAGAAAACCGCATCTTATCGGCGAACACAGGCCATCATATACCCTTCGAACTGAGGTTATACAAACGACTGACTTAACCTATAATGGCATATTGATCGGGAGTATGCAGTGTTCAGCCTCGCGATCATCTGCAGCTACAGGTACCAACACGGAATTGTTCTATATTCTGCAACCCGTGGCTGGGTTTCGGGCTGAGCAAGTGAGAGAATATAAAGTTTCGGAAACTCGACCCAATGGCATCAAAGCCCCCCACATCCACGGCTACTAGTGCTTACTTCTAGCTTATGCCCGACGTGCTTGGTCGGCTTTAAAGGCAGCCAAGTCCCACTTGCTAGAAGCCAAGCGTCTTCAAACTCTGGCATCCGAACTGATTACCTTTCTGGGAAGTCACTATCCACACATAGCCCTATTACCATGGTGTACCGGGGGAAGCCAGGTCTGGGGTGTGCCTTATGCAGGACACGGCGACTAATCGTACGTGGTGCGCCTCGAGGCTCTTGATGATCATGGCGTACTGACAAAACAGTGCGATCGACGTCGCCCGTCGTGTACACAATGCTTAAGGGTCAACCAGGAGTGCTCTGGGTATCGCGATCCCAACGTTCTAAGAATCTGCGACCAAACCGACGAGATTACAGTGAAAGTCGAAGGTCGAGGGACGATCACCCGCAAACAACGCAAGTCGCCTTCTTCGTCAAAGCCTCCCTCTCCAGCCTCAGCCTCTATACTCCCTCCGCCAACCACGATCGACGACCAGGTCATGTCGCATATCTTCACTTACTACGTCGGTACAACGCGAGTCCAGGGTCTCCTCTCCTACCTGCCCCACCTGCTAAGCACCGACCCGTCCCCTGCACTCCAAGCCACGATCAAAGCTGCAGGGCTAGAGAGCATGGCGAGAATCAACCGACTTCCCGAACTAAAGCGCGCAGCAGGGGAACAGTATGGGAAAGCCCTGATTGCCACTAACAACGCACTACGAGACCCATCATCGGCCAAATCCGACTCCACTCTCGGGGCTGTTATATTACTCGGCATGTATGAGGTAAGATTAGATCAGCTCCACTGGTTCGCGGCTCAGCTTTCTAATGCAGGTGCTAGTTGAACACGTTCCCGAGTCCAATGCGGGGCTGGTCGCAGCATGTTCGCGGAGCCACAAAGCTTGTTGAACTACGTGGGATGGAGCAGTTGAACTCAGCAACGGGACTCGAGTTGTTCAGACTGGTGCGCTTGCAGAATGTAAGTCTCACCCTAACTTAAGTACTCGCGCAGCCTCTCACCCTTATCAGGCAATTAGTAGCATTTTCAGGAGATCCCAAAGGTACAATTCACCGAAGATAGCAGCCCTTACGAACGTAGCACGAACCAATAAGGACAAGAATCCACAGCCAATGGAGACATTCTGCGACATACTAATTCAACTACACGACCTCTCTGTCGAAGTGGACAACGCCGCCTTGGCTGACGATTCCATCGACACTCTGAGCGTACCAATTAGCAACGCCCTCCACCTTGACACTGACCTGCGGTCCTGGGCCATGTCACTCGGTCCGCATTGGCAATTCTCCGTTGTTGACATACACAGTAACCCTAAATCTCGCCCGCAAATCCCTCTTCACAGCGACACTTACCACGTATACAAGGCCGTCGGGGTAGTCTCAATGTGGAATCACTACCGTCAAACCCGAATCATATTACACGAAATGATCAGATCAATGGCTCTACGTCTCTGGGGCCTACAAGGAACACCAGAATGCCAACAGATTGTGTTCGACTCGATAGACATTATCAAGCAAATGACCGACGATATCTGCGCTAGTGTTCCATACCACTTTGTATCTGGGGAACTGACATTCACAGCTGTGGTTCGCCTGCTATGGCCTCTGTTTGTGGCGGGCGACTGTGCGAGTTCAGATCCCGCCACGAAGAAATGGATCGTCCAGACTTTGGAGCTCATTGGGAATACGACGGGAATTCAACAGGCCCTTGGTATGGCGAAGATGCTCAGGAATGGACATACGAGGAGCTTTATTCCGGGGACGTGAGGATGGGATGTGTTTTCATGACGTGTTATATCTTCCGCTCTCTATTGTCGATTCCCTTCAGCGATGTGTCTTTCTAGCACCCTTTCTTTCTTCTTGCACGCCCACGATTGAAGAATATATATACATAATCCAATAAAACAAAAATGAAAAACATACAACAGAAGGGATTCGCTGGTGGTCACCCACCCAACTACTAACCTCCCGGCGTGTGGCTTAAGTACGGCTGAGCGGACGGGAAGCCCTGTTTTCCACACCCTATGGTCGTATGTGCTGGAGATAGGTAGTTTTATGTTCAAGTAGGCATGGGAATATTTAATGAATGAGTGATCTTTATCTGGAGTGTCGCCACTCTTACTGGTCGTGGCATATATATCGACCGTGAGCAAAAGCAAGACAATCCGCAGGCAGTTAAATATACGATTGCAGGATAGACCTTTTTTCTCGAAGGCAGGGAAGGAGAATTCTGACGAGAATAAGTTTCTTATAAACGGAACTCAGCTTTGATCAATGACAGAATAAACAACGTAGTAGACAAAAATGAGGGGACAGATAAATATAGACATAAGGAAATGTGACACAGTAGTCAGTCTGACAGATGCTGCTTATCAAGGCCCAGCCTTGTGCAACTTCAAAATCTCACACATAAGGAAATAACAGGTCCCGCCTGTTAACATCAGCGAGTGAACAATTTAAAACCCAAATCGATCAATATCCTTCAATCATCTTCTTCACAGAAGCTTCAAACGAATCCTTCACATATCCTGCCCGCTCATCCGTGAGCACATCAGACCAGTAACCAAGCTCTGCATCAACCTCTGTGACACCGTCTCCACGACTGTGGATCTGCAACCCGATCGACACGTCCCACGCAGTGGGATCCTCTGCCGAACGAAGCTCAACCTCGAGTTCAGTCCGCTCGGTGGCCTTCTGACCCACCCGCGAGTCCATGTACTGTAAACTCATGAGGGAATTCCACGCCGGGGTCTGCCACACGTTTTCCATCTGGGCCAGCCCATACTGATGCTCAAGCGACTCGAGGAAATCGTCTCGCGCTTGCCTCAACACATCACCGATGGCTTTGTTGCTGAGATCGATCCGACACAAAAGCATTTGAATGAGCGGACCCACTGTCTCTCCTGCGCCGGTAAACGGTGCGTCCCTGTTAGCTGTCATGAAAGAGAACAGGGTCTTGTCTGATCCGGTGAGGTGCTGTAGCACCATTCCCCAGGCGGTTTGGAGGAAGGCTGCCATCGTGACACCGTGCTGTACGCAGAAGGCGGGGAGGCGGCTGGTGGTCTCCGTATCGAGGTTGATGGTCTTCGTCTTGTGGACTCGGGGCTGCGAGGGCACAAGGCATGAGGTATCGGTATGAGGGATAAGCGATGCTCCCGCGCTCTGTGAGAACTCTAGCCAGTATTCCATGTCCTTGACTAGTGTTTCGCCCTGGCTCATGCTGCGCAGCCAGACCGAGTAGTTGCCGAAAGACGGGGCTGTAGTGGTGGGAAGCTTGCCCTCGTATGCCTGCATCAGGTCACGGAGGATCAGAGCGACAGAAACGCCGTCGGTAAGGGTGTGGTCTGTTTCGGTTTTGAAGGCGACCTTCTTCACCCCGTCCTTGGTGGTTGTACGGAACAAGGTGAGTTGATGGTGTGGTTTTCTGTTCGACAGGCTGTAGTTGACTGATCGGTAGGCGTCCATTCGAGCCGTCATCTCATCTTCGCTGGCGCACTGGATCACGGGGACCTCAGGGTACCAGTTTCGGATCACAATTTGGTCGTATGAGCCCGGCGAAGACATGCTGGGCAGGAACACCGTGCGCAGTGCGGGATGACGTTGCACAACCTGGTGCCATGCGTCGCGGACTCTGTCCACGTCGACGACACCGTTGATTGTATGGGCGTGGTAAGTGAAGTCCATCTCGTATAGGCGTCGGTTGGGATACTTTTCGCGCTCTGCGAGCATGTGTCGCTGCACTGGGGCACAGGGGTAAATTCCTTCAATGTTGTCGAGGGTGATGCATTGATCCTGAAGATGGTGCTGCACGGGTGAGAATTTGGGGGTAGGGGTAGGGGTAGGGGGGGTGCGTGTGGGAGTGGGAGTGGAAGGCAGGCTTCGCACACCACTGAGAACCTCAATGGCAAGGCTAAGCGTTGATTGTGTCTTGGCTGCCCACTCAACAATTCTGTCTTGGTGTTGCATGTGCTTGTTATAGGCCATGGTGACGTGAGTTTTACCACCCACAACAAGAGCCACGATGTCGAAAAGAGACCAGCGAGGAAGCTTTTCATCTTGGACCAACTGGTCGAAAGTCGCGCCGTCTGGAAGCTCGGCATGTGAGAGAAGGGCGTTCTCCGACCCAACTTCAGAGGAGCGGCCAAGGTAGTTAAACATGATTTCCATGTCGAAATGCGACCCAAAGGCTTTGCGTCCCTTGTCAGAAAGGTATCTGGAGCTGAAATAGGACATGCCGTTGGCGGGTAGGCGGCGGCGCAGATCCTTGACGGACTGCGCAGTAGTGATGATATCCGACTGGAGATCAGACACATGCAGTGGGCTCATAGTCGTGAACCAGCCCACTGTGCCGGAAGGATCGATTTGGTTGTTCCATGATTCGCGACCGTGGCCCTCGGAGAAGACTGGTGGTGCGGCGCGGTCGGGGAAGACAGCCGCGAAGGAGTGGAGAAGAGAAGCTAGAATAATGTCGACAGGGGCAGCGCCTGAAGCCCCCTTGCTGACACTCATTAACTGGTTTGTTAGGGACTCGTCGAGCCAGAAATCAGTCACGACGGCGTCGCAGTATCTGTTAGACTTCTTGCCACCCATTCCCCAGTACTCAAAGTTGGCCACTGGCATGCTGGTGTTTGCGAACGGTAGCAAATCCCTCGGCTCGAGAGACTGTGCCATCTCCTTCTGAGAACGTAACCAACTCTGGAAAGAAAGCGGAGCTGGGCCAGCCAAGCTGCCAGTTGCAATAGCCAGTTCTAGATCGCCCAGCAGAACGTGCCATGAAACCACATCCACCACCAAATGGTGAGCATGGACGAACATCAACTGCTTGCGCTCTGCACGAAGATTGTATACGCGGGCAGCGAAGACTGGGCCCTTTTCGATGTCAAACACACCACCCATGTTTCTGAGTATGTTGGAAACTTGATAACCATCTTCCACATCTTCGACGCTAAAATGGAATGAATTTGCCGAGTCTTCAGCAAGGTACTGATACCATTGGCCGGCATCATTTCGAGAATACCGGGCGCGGAGCATCGAGTGCCGCCGAACGACCTGCACCAGCGCCTGTCGCAATGCTTGAGGAGGCACGGAGTTGTTGACTTCCAGAAGAATGCTTTGGTCGAAATGACCAATGTTTGCATCCGCGGCAGATCCCACTAAATCAAAGTACATTTGCTGGATTGGCGAGAGTTCGAAAGAGCCGTCTTGGACCTTCTTCACGGCTGGCTCAGTATATTCCGCTTTCGCTGCAAGCTCCACCAGGCTCTTGCACCTGATAATGTCCAGCATGGAGACTGTGACTCCATCGGCGCGAGACTTGCTACGCAGCTGCATGGCGGCGACGGAGTCGCCACCAAGGGCCAGGAACGAGGAGTTGAGGTTGAGTGTCTCCGCGTTCAAGCCGAGGATCTTGCTGATGAGATTGCACAGGATCTGCTCCACCGGGGTGGATGGGCGGCGGATCTCTTCTTCCTTCTTTTCACCACCTCCCTCGCGTAGCAAGGAGGCATAGGTTTCTTGATCCATCTCTTCCATCCACGCGTCCACGGACTTCCGATCCACCTTCGAGTTGGCACTCAATGGAACGGCCTCGACACCAATCCAAATCGTTGGCACCATGTAGCTTGGGACGTTTTGTTGCAGCAACCCACGCACGGAGGCAAGTTCCGTTCCAACCTTAACACCATGAGAGGCTTCATCCAGCACGATGATTTTATTGGCAACGGGCGAGCTGGTCGACGAGACATCATGGAGACTCAGCATGGCCACAAGCTTGTCCTTGAGCGGCCCATGGCGAGGAATGCGGGCAACAGCCTGACGCACTCTTTCGTGTCTCAACATGCCGTGTTCCACTTCGTCCAGCTCCATTCTTTGACCGTGGAGCTTCACTTGATTATCTTTCCGACCGGAGAATAACATGTAGCCATTGGCGTCGTAGCGTGCCAAGTCTCCGGTTTTGTACATCCTGCGAGGCGAGGCACTCTTGTCCAGCCTCTTCGCCCAGGCTGGATCCTCGATGTACGCGGCTGCCGTCTTTGCGTCGTCCTTGAGATAGCCGCGGGAGACGAGGGGACCCTCGACAACAATCTCACCAACGCAACCAAGGGGTACTAGTCTGTCGTGGTTGTCTGGATCGCAGAGCCACATCACACTACCCATTGGGTTTCCGAGGCCTTGTGCACTTGTTTCACGAGTTGTTGGCGGCGTCGCAGATGCATAGATAGTGGTTTCGGCTGGGCCCCAAATAATGATCAGGTTCAGTTTATCCGACCAGGTTTGGACGTTGTCTTGAGTGGGCGCCTCGCCACCTAGGACAAGGGTGCGCAGTGTTGGAACGGCTTCTGGACGGAGGAGCTTGGCCACCGATGGGGTGACCGACATAAAGTTCGCCTTATATTTAGTGATAGCACCGGGAAGCTCGTTCAACCTCTCCCATTCGGATGGCGTGCAGATGGTAGCTCCGCGTTGGAGTGAGATGAAAATGTCGCCGAGACCGATATCGAAAGTGTAAGCCGAGAACTGGAACACCCTGGTGCCAGGGTTGACCTTGAATTGTGCACCGTGTGCTTGTGCGCTCATGCGCAGATTGCCGTGCTCGACCACAATTCCCTTGGGCCGACCTGTGCTTCCCGAAGTGAAGCAAACATAGACGGCGTTCGAGGGCTTGGCCTTGGGCAGTTCAACGTAGTCAACGTCGGGTAGGCGATCCAAATACGCTTGATTGATTGGGATAGTTGTAACAGCGGCATCATTAAAAATGCCACTGTGCT